GACTTGTTTTGTTGGGAGGTGGAGGGGACTGAAGCAGACGACTCTTTCCGGCAGGACTAGCCAAGTCGAGCAGCTGGAGAAGATGAGCAGCTGCAGCGCTATAAGTTAATACAGATACAAGTTATAAGGGGACATGGCGCAAGTAGGAGCGGGCAAGATTTAAAAACACAAAGATTTGAAGGGTAGGGTGAAGGGAGGAGGGCATGGATGGCAGAGTCACGGAACGGCAACTCCAATTGTCCACAACTGCCTGTAAAGACTGCGTGTGAACCAGGACATCGCAGACCCTCGAACGATAAGGCGGCGTAGAACATGTTTTTCCATTATTAAGCCATTAAGCCATCCTGCATGGAGTTTGGTTGGTTGCAGCTAGGGTCTTAAAAAATAGGTGTTTTGGACGCTGTTTTTGGTGATGAGATTAGTGCATGGTGGTTTGTTGTGACGTGTTGAACAGTGACGTAGTGAGCTGTGGCGTGGCAAGAGTCTTGTTGGTGATGTGGAGCCCTCTGGTGTGCAATGCTACTGCTTGATGGTGCCCAGTACCTGAACTTGATCACTTGTCCCTGGAAGTGCGCCCATCCCGAACCACGTTTCTTATACCTATCCCTCTCTTGTCCTCGCACATGCACATGCGCTTTTATATGCAGATGTCTTAACATGTAAGTCTCTCTTGAGATGTACTTTGATAAACTGCACGTATATAACACCTTTACCGTATTGAAGCAGTAGCATAGTGTAAGAGTAATGTTGGTTCCGGGATGCTGCAGGCGAGTACTGTTTGGATTGTTTTTGCAACAATGCGATCAAACCTAGCAATCAACATTACAATATATATATATACTGTCGTGCACTGACACATGTTGTGCATCGGTTGGCATTGTGTTTCGTTTCTGGAAAACTCCACCTGTTCAATGTTCAGGGCCTCTTGATGGATCTCAAGATTGAACGGACAATGGAATCGACTCTTGGCTCCAGCGGTGTTTTCTTTGGCATGTTGCACTCACTGGATACGTGTGGCCGTCCCATCGGTTCTCACATTTTGGGTTGACATGCTGTTGAAGGCTGGATGTGATGCGGATCATCAATGCACAGAACTACCGTGGGTGTGATGATCAGCCGCACAAGGACATGTTCCAGTCACGCAAAGCAACATGGCAAGCTTTTGTGGGATTCGTTACATTCAGGGAATCAAGGCAGACAAATGAGATCAACATTGAGTCGACTTCCATCACTTGATACCTTGATCAATGATTACTCGGATAGGGATATACTCCAATTTGTTCCAACTTCATTGAGTGCTATTCCTGAATTCAGCAGGACTGCTATCGACTTTGTCGAGTTGTTGCCAGCATCCCTGAAGATTTGCCGCCCAGCGTGGTTTGGATTCAGCAGGTCAACAATGACAAGGCCCGACAAGGTTTGCCACAGGTCCTTCCTCAAGGAGCAGCATTGCAGGGTTTGTTCGTTACTTTCTGTTGCTAGCCTTTGAATAGTCTGGTGGAGGAAGTGTTTATATTGGGCCTTTTCCCGTGCAAATCTTCAAGACCGAAGCGAAAGTCTAGACTGGCACTCTCAGATAAGCATGACCGAGGGTAGAAGACTTCGGGGTTAAGTTCTAACTAAGAACCTACAAGCAATTTTGCCCAGAGGGTATTGTGGGTGTGCCAAACTAGATGCTTTGTGCAGGCTGACCATGTGGTTGTGGAGATCGATTCAGTGAAATTGAACAATCTCATGATCAGAGGCACTTGATATGTGATTGACAAAGGATTCGGACACAGTTGAAGCATCTGCCACGCAAAGGGGTGTGTCGGCCTTGACGCGAAGATCATCAGAAATGATCCGAAACCGATGTGCCCGGAGTCAGGTGGCGGTGGCAACTGGTGGGATAAGGCAGGACCGAGTATTGAGGTCTTCATGCGCAACAGCACTACAATGGGTTGCGCAGCTGCATTGCACGCTAAGTACTTCCTTGTAGATGCTTCCAGTGGGCCTGGTGTGCTTCATGTGACTTGCTGGTCAGCTCATTCCACCTGAGGTTGGATGTACATTACTTTGGCCAAAGGTCAGGCAATGCTGCAGGATACCCAACACGCTTCCACTGCAGACGTGAGGTGCAAAGCAGTGCAGACACAGAAGTTTGGTCAACCTTGTTTTGCCATGCTTGCAGATGCTCATTGTTCATGCCTATTTGCTTTTGCTAACGCTAACGTAGTTTGCCAAACACTGTTGCCAAAAGGCCCTGAGGAACTAGTCAGCCTAAGAAACAGCAGGGCTGCGTGCAAACATGTGTGTTTACATGTGTTTACCCACATTGTCATCACAATCCCACATATACATTGTCATATACATCCTGTTACATTCTCTATACACAAGAGTGCGCCTTCTTTATCCTTTATTTGATAGGACACGGAGTAGCAATGGACACTGGACACTGGGCTTGAAGGAGGCAAAGGGGCAGAAAACATTGACAATCAGGAACATCCCCAGCGCTTTGGAAAGATTGGCAACCAAAGCACCAAGTCAAAGAAGCAATTGTTATGCGAGCGTGGCAAGCTACCAGTATTGGGAGGTTCGAAAAGTTAAGCTTTGCTTAATTTGCTTGGAAATGACGGACTGGCGGTGTCTTGTGGTTCTTGTGCTTGGCAACGTGGCCAGTCAATAGATATCAATGCGATTTGTCAATACAATTTTGAGCACAGAGAGGAGCGGTCCCGCACAGAAATTCGCAGTGCCACTCGCCAGAAGCATGTTGTGGGATGGCAAACGTTAAATCAAACATGCAATTTACATCATTTTACAGACAACGAAGTGCCTATGCTGATAAGCAACTTGCCGATGGCGGCTTGTTTAGACAAACCGATAGCAACTCGCATGGCCCTAATTGGATTTGGAGGGTTCAATCGCACAGCACCCATCCTAGCTGGCCAGGAAGATTGGGAGAATGCCGCTCAATCAAATGGAAGGACCACGTGCTGGATCGAAGGCAGAGAACTTGATAAATGCAGATCAAAAGGTGAGGTGCTGCGAGCATGCACCAAATCAGCAGCAAAAAGTAAAGCAACAGGAGAGCAAAGGTAAATTCTGCCAGAGAAACATCAGAAAAGAAAACATGGAAAACAAATTGAACTTGTGGAAAAATTGCAGAGAGCGAAGCAGCTGTCAAGAACGCAAGAGAAAAGACGATACCAGCAAAGACCAAGCTGGTAACGGGTGGCCCTTGGATGCAAGTCACAGAAGCATCAAAAAAACACACAACAGATAAGTCAGATAAGTAATAACACCGAAATCGTGTAAGGGCTACAGCAATTGGAGGCTACTCTAAGCCACAAGACCCAGACGCATAATTCTTCTTGACTCCTCATGAAGCAGTCGATTCATGAGGCCGTGGCGATGAAAAGCCAATGTCGATGTGCCCCCACCCGTCACCCCAACACCACCTCAAATCATCCAAATCATCAGTGCCAAATCAAGCATTTGACATGCTTGGTGGTCGGTCCGTTGCATGCATATAGATTGATGTTGGTCCGCTGTTGACCTTATGGACCTTGGAATCAATTGTCGGGTGCTTTCAGTAAAGCAGGTCCGATGGAAGTGTGACAATGCGGGAAGTACGTCACACCGGACCAATCCTGCTGAACTGGCGACAGCCAAACAACCAGGCAGGAATTGGGGAGTGGCAATTTGAGACAGAAGCATGGACACGGTCTGGAATTGAAAGTTCAAAGAAGGGAGCGCCACGCTAATGATTCTTGCTTTCTTTCACTGTGAGGCTTGCATGGTGGCAGATTCAAACGAGTTGGTTCTTCCAGATGAGAAGCTTGGAGACAGTTGTTGAACCGAATCGTTCCCGTTCCCATGCAACATGTTCATATGATACATATGCGTTTTAAACAGATCCTGATAAAAGGAGTAAGGATATATACAGTAATGAACCTTAATGCCAAGCTCTTCTCAGGAATGGCGAGTTCAACTTGTGCGATTCACTGTATCACAAGAGCAATTTTCAGACCTTCTACGATACCAGCCGCCCGGTATTGGAGCAATGATTGAATTCAATCAGGAAAAAGCTTTGATAGAACCAAAGGACTAGCGCTGGCTGTTCAACAGGGAAGAAGTGCAGTCTTTTCTGAGAACCTGAACTGACGTAGCTGCAGAAGCTTCTCAATATAGTCAATGCTTCAGGCAAAGACTTCTTTTTGGACCGGGCAGAGTTTGGTGCTGCACTTGTGGGGATGCCGTACTGCTGCGGAGGTTCCAAAACAAGACGAGATAATGCAAGAATTCTGATCCACACGTTGGTTTGCACGTTTTGATGCGCAGCTTGAGAGATTGGAGGCATTGCTATGAACCCGTCGCTTTACTATTCATAACTTTGCAGTTTTACTTGCTGCACACTTTGCCAGGCTCTTGTCCACACTCCTCTTGGTGTGATGGCACGCTCTACAAAGTCTTTGATTTCGGCAGCTCGACGGGCGCTTCTTTTGCCAACAGGGCAGAGGTACTCAGCGCCAACACGGTGTTTGACAAGCTCAAGTCCCTAGGCCCGGCAAACTTTTTAAAGAATGAGTGAAAAAAGAAGCTTTTGTGTTTAAGAGGCAAAGAGAAGTGCAGAAAAGTTGTAACAAGATAGGACAAGTAGGTATAACAGGTACAAAACGAACCTACATGTTTTTCTTGTATAAAGCACCTCAACCTTACAATGATTTCGCCTTCTCGAAGGGTGGGCTGGGATGATACCCTACTGCTTCCGCGAAGCGAAGCTCATGCAACCTACAAGCCCCTGGGAAGAGCATGTGTTAGCACTGCTTTCAAGTTTTTGTTGGAGGACAGATTCGGAAGACAAGACTTGAAATCGCTGAGACGGGAAAAAGACAGGAAACAAGGCATGGTTCCTCATGGCACTTGAAATCGCTGCATTGCATTTTGCTCCAGCTGAGATCGTGTGCGATTGGTCGAGGGCTGGCCATCCTTCGTCCCCTGGGCGGGCGACGCCACAGCACCAAGTCCCTCTCCTTTTGCAGCTTGCATTCGACACGCTCAGTGCACGACCGGATGGGCAAATGGAAAAAACAGAGAAGGGGTGAGTGGGCAAATTTGTAATGTTACAAGGTGCACAGGAAAGCGTTGCCAACGGGTTGAAATTGTGCAATGTATGTATGTCTGTGTATACATATATATATATATATATATATACGTTGATGAGAACATGGCTTGCTGGCAAAATGCCTCTATATAAGTATGATGACAAGCGCATCCCCCTCATTTGCGTTTTTTGTGCTGCGCCCTTGATGGCCTTTGCAGGACTGGCTATTGCGACAATGAGACGTCACAATGTGCGCCACATCCCGATGTCACCAATCTGGTTTCATTAAAGCCAGTGACAGCTTGACACAGGAAGGAGAAAAGGTTCAAGCCAAGTCAATACTCGTTATCACTTTGCACCGTCGTTGTTTGTGGTGGTATGCCGGTATGCCTTAGTACCCGCTTCTTTTGGACAGCTCAGGTGACCTTTCAGGTTGTGTCAGGTAATTGGACAAGTCCCGAGCTCAAATTCCAACGAATCTTTGAGTCTAGACTTCAGCCCCATGAGTTCTTTTAGCAATGTTGAGACCCGGAAGGCAGAAAGAATTGCAAGCGGTGTTGGTTTTTAATGAGAAGGGCAAGTGCTTCCATGCGCATATGTGCTCAATGGTTCATCCTCACATTGGTGCACCACTCATATGATATGTCTCACGTGTGTGCTCTCATGTTTTTGTGCCCGTGCTGATTCGTGTGTGTGCGTGTGCTCCTTGGCGTACTGTGTGCTCATATTACAGAGATCCTCATTGAAATCTACCTTGGAGTCGCTTGCGAGTGATAAACGTTTCATGACGTTTGTTTTTTGGGCATTTGCTTCTGCTTGTTTGTATTCTGATCTCGATCGGAGCTCACAGTGTTACAGTGGCGAAGGAATGCAGAGAAGGTGAAAGAAAGCAAGCGCTTTTACAGCAACCCCTTGGCCTTGTGATCTCACGACAAGCCTCCGGGTTTCCTTGCATTTTCTGTTCTGACCCAGAGAATCTCCATTGACAAGAATACACTGACTTCATCTGACTTCCTATGAGATTTTCGACTGTGAATCTCGTGCTTCTGCAAGGAGTTCCCACATTCTGAAACCAAATCTCTTTGTTCTCAATCAAGAGCTTAGTCAAACAAACCTCCTTCCCTACCTAAGCCGCTCCGTTCTCACTCATCCAAGTTCTTTTTTCTGTTGGCTAAGCCTGAGCGTAGTTTCCCTGCTTGTGTAAATGCAAGCAATTCCTTCGTAAGATTCATTTGAGCAACAACCTACAGTAAGGGTTTGTGCACAAATCTTTATGTGAGGGGAACTATTTCATTGAAATCAAAAAAACTGTAAAGCAAATTAGTGAACTCCAAAAAGCGAATTAGAGAACTCAATGTAATTACGCTTCAATCATTTGATTCAAATCATTCCATTTCTGTTTCTTGGCGTTTTCCCTTTACATGAAGCGATACCAAAGCGATACCCCTGGATGATCAAAATGTGGTCTAGTGATCCACTTTTGTATCATGTTCGTATCATTTTCGCAGTCTGTGGAGTTTGCCACAGATGAAGAGCTCTAGAAAAAGAACCGCATAGAAGGGGGAAGGGAGCGCGGATGTGTCAATGGAAAGCTCTCTCTCTCTCTCTCGCTTCTTTCTTTTTCTCCCACTACCCATATCCATGCGCTTCACTTTGGCTATGTTTTCAAGAGAAATCCTCAAGAAATATGACAAAGGAATCCGCACCCTGTAAGGCGATATAGCGAACTTCCAAAAGCGATACCAACATATGGAGTATACCAAATTGTATGATACATGTTGGCGATCGCTCATTTGGCTTGTGCACTACACCAAAAGCTTACCTGAGCAAATCCAGATGCTCGTCGAACAGATTGCCTATGCTTGCCACTGGATGGTGCTTGCAGGTTCCCTTTCAATTTCACTGTCTCCAAAAAGTCCTGCAAGGTTGAAAGTTTAAACTCCTTGTCGAGCGACATGTCTTCTTTGGCCCATTGTTCTTTGTTCTGAATCGGTCAATAAAGCACTTTCCAGTTTGATCTCCAGCCGTCAGGCACCAAATCCCTTTTGGATGTTTTGTCTCTTTTTGCTGGAGATGTGTCCACTTCTTTTGTCAGGCTTCCCCTGCTCTTGGTGTCCTATGTTTCTCCTTTTGTCTCCCACTCTTGCAGTTTGACATGAGCAGATGCGAGATTGGTTTGCGAAGTGAAGATGACAACGGAGAGGACTTGAGTTGACGGAGAAATCATGGCAATCTGCAGGAAAAAAAATGATCCTCGCTCTCGAACTGACAGGTTGTGACAAGCCATGTGGCGGAGGACAACAAACTCGAGAGATGGTATGCTTGGGCTCTGATGGTCTGAAGTACCCTTCGCTGCTTGAATGCAGACGAGGCAACTGTCAGGAATCAACCATGAAATGTGAGTGAAAGCCACCAGAGTTGCAATCCAAGGTATTTGTGCCCAGGCGACTTGCCTGATCCACGTGAGCTTCTTGTGCCAAAGCCCACATTCCTCCCAAACTTTTTCTCGTGGGCACACATGTTCTGAGTGCTCAGGGCCCAGGCTCAACACATGAAAGATTTTCAATCATGGATGCTGGGTTAGATCTAAGTGAACCTGTTCCCGCGCACACAGAGAAGCTTATATACTTAACCTGTCCGTCGGAAGCCAACTCTTTCTTGGAAGGTTTCAGTTCCTTTCAAGTCAGCCTTTATGCCTTACTTTAGCCAGGTGCTTCGAGATTGTTTTGCTATGTGTTGCTTGACGTTTGACCACATTGCAATCTGAAAAATAGCCAACCAGAAGTTTCTCCCCTCGTTTTGGCAAGCTCCCTAAAGAGCCAACAAGAAGCAAGCGCAGTAGGGCGTTTGTTGTTGTAATTTGTAGTTATGCGCTGATGAGAGTAGCCGAGTTTAGCTTAACTCTGAGCTAAGATGCAAGCTATAAAGGTTACATGACAATGCCTGTAGCAGCTAAACAGGAAGCGCATTAAGCTAGCTGACTTAGGCAAGTTCTAAGCAAGCTAGGTGCCGAGCAGGCAAGCTTTATAGACTCTATAGACCATAGACTATAGACGACTCTATGTGTGCTAGCCCCAAACATGCTTTGACTTTGGGTATCATCAGCGATTCAACCGCTCCTTTGATGCAAAAGAACACAGCTCTCCACAAGAATCCCTTTTGGACAGAATACATGGCTGAAAGATGCTGAAATATGTTGTGCGAATGGTCGGCACATTATGCTTGGGGAACATTTTTGCAGGGACGGTCAATCATTAGCTTTGAGACAGGTCAGACGATGCGACCGTGGCCTTCAGGTGGTCCACCTATCCATGAGGGCTTTGTTTCAATGGTAGACTTGACGCCCTTATTGTTGGCGCTTTGGGTTTCCACTTTGCATGACGGAGCTCGGCATGTTGCTCATGTTCAGAGTAGCCAAAGCAGATCACGCAGCCCAGGCTGGCTCTCCAGCGTAGAGGTGCAAAGCTGCAACACAATGGCCTGCAATTTGCCAGATGTGTCTCGACATCCATTTTGCAGTGACATGTTTGCCATTGCACAGCCTTCCCCTCCCCCTGCAGCATTAGAGTCGTGCACACCATACACAAGGAAGCTCCTGTTAGAACATGAATGATGTCACCCTGCCTTGCCCAAGTTTCAAACGCAAAGCCAAGCTTGCCCAGGGATCTTGACTTCACGATGCCTTTGGGCCGGATGTTCACCACACACTTTCCGTGTTCAATTCTTGGTTTATTTAAGGGGCTTGCGCCCAACAGCGGGCCAGCAGAGTGTTCAGTGAAAGCAGATTGTTGTTGTAGTGGTTGTTGTCGATAGGAGGCCGACGCAGACCAACCTGTCTCTGTGCAAGACAGGGGCTGGGGGGTAGGGCACCCAGGCATACCCAGGCAGCATTCTGTGCAAGAAGCTGCAAGCAAATGTGGAGGCTGACCGCCCTGACAGAGGCAACTCTCTGTCGGTCGGGAGAGCCATCGAAGACAGGAAAAATTGTTACGGTGAGCTGCCGCTGAAACGGGTGCAAGCAGCCATTGATTGCATGGGAAGCAAGCAACTCCCTGTCAAAGGTCAGGAGAGCTGTCTAACACAAAAAAATCCGGTGGCGAGGTTGCGTTTGCTCTTGTTGGTGGCGGTGGTGTTGTTGGTGTTGGCGGTGTGGATGATGTTGTTGTTGCTGTTAGCAGAAACAGAACCAGACACAGAAAACGCAAGTAATGCAAAGCAACTTGGGCGGCATAACTCTGCGATTCGTCTCCACACCCTGCGGGTAGCCGCCTTTTGGCAGCGGTCCTGCGGACCTGCCAGGGCCACCACCCCTGCTGGCCCGATCTTCCGCCCCGCGCCACCGACCCCAGTGAAGCTCTTGAGAATCTTCATGCATCACAGTTGCTGGGGCAAGATCCCACCATCCAGCGTAAACGCAAATCCCCCTGCCCCTGACAGTGCTTGGTTGTAGGTTGCTGCTGGCTGCTGGTTCTTGATTCTTGTTTGTTGCTGCTTGTATTGTAGTTCGTGCTGTTGTCCTGCTTGCTCATACAAACCTTTCGCGCAACGCATTTTTCTCTTCTATGCGCGTTTCTCTTCACTTCCTCCTTTTCCGCTTCCTCTAAGTTTTATTCCTCTTGCTTTGGAACCTCGTTGTGAGGCAGTAACCAACTACAGCTTTGGTTTGGACATGGACAGAAATGGGCAGGGAAGAGGGCAGAAGGTGGAAAGGGAGCAAGTGCAATATTTGGAGAAAGACGGTTGGCTTCTTGCTTTGTGTAGTTGGTAGTTGATTTGCACCCAACGCATCTCTGTGACGCATTGTAGAACACAGTTGCTGTTTGAAGGACTTACGGCCTGATTGGATAGATATCACTGCAACTGGGACGCTTCCCAGCGGTGCCACTGCCTTGCAGATTCGCCACTTGAAACAAACGGAAGCGTGGGCGAAACGAATGGGTTTTCTAGAACATGTGATATTCTTTTTCACACTTGATTGTGCTATTATAAAAGCGCAGTGTTCTGTGGGGGGTAAGCCAAAATCTCCGCCACATCCAAAGTTTGAACACAACCGCCCGAACCCTCAAGAGCAAGTGAAACGCCGAAGCAGAACGCGACAGGCTTGCTAGACGCCCCAGGACTGGGAATGACTTTCCCTCCTAGGACGTGAGCCATTATTGTTCGCCTTTGAATAAAAAACAGCTTCGCAGTGTCAAACTGATTCATACTTAGTAGTTTTATTGACTGAAACTTGAGTGTCAATAATTCGCTGGAATGTGGTTTGGACTGAGATCAAAACGGAATGCTGGGCTCGCAAAATGTCGCAGGTCTTGGAAGTTCCACAGGCGCCATGCTGGAGAGCATAATCGACGACGTTCTCGAGAACGAGTGTGTTCTCACTATTTGCACGCTGAGGGCGCAAGCACAGGTGGGCCCGGCAGAAGCAAGATGAAGCAAGCACGTATCCAAGGCAAGAAAGGCATACGGATGTGCTTTCACATTAATTAAAGTACTTTGAATATACACGTCTCGCAATAGCATGCAAGATGAGCGAAAGTGGTAGTCCCAAGATCCTTTGGGTTCGGAGTTTGCTTTTTGGCATCGTTGCCGCTCGCCTTCACCATATCAGCCTTGGCTGTACTTTGTACGATTTTTTGCATTCAATCTTCAGTGTACACTCATCGGTGCTAGCCGCTAGAGCCTTCTTTGCATTTCCATCCTGGGGCTGTGTGATGGGTTCACAACAGCAAGTTCCATTCCCAGTCTTCCTGTTCTTTACTTAAATCTATTTACATATTGTAAATATACAGTATATATATATATATTAGTAATTTAAGTCTTTGTTTGGTGTTCTTTTGCACACGTGCTGTGGGTGTTCAGGTTTTCTTGTCACCGCTTTGTGCTTTCGCGCTGGATGTGTTCTTGTTCTCCTTGAGCACACGAAAAGTTGTTCTGACACGGCGCGCACCTGACTCCTTGTTTTTTTACCGTTGCACGGCCCGAAGGTCTTGTGACACTGAAGGACTCCTGTTTAGGGTCCAAGTGAACCTTGTCAAAGAATTCACCCACCGACATAGCCAGCCCCATCACACTACCGCTTTCCATGGAATGCCAGGACGAAATGGTTCGAAGGCCCAGAAGACGTTGGTTAGCTGCCCATTCGTCCCATGTTCCCATGTTTTCATCGTCCGTAGACGGTACACGCTGTGGACTGCTGACTGCCACATTCAAGCGTGGTGGACGTGCCTTCGGGTATACAGTCAGCAACTGCCCAGCATCATCCCTCCCACCAAGCACATGCCATGTAGCTGGTCACACATTTCGATCATGCCATTGCCTAACCATCACTAGGAAAAGACCGCAGTTCCGCCACCATGAAGTGACACGGCCCTATAGCACCAACATGAGTTGTCTTCCAGACGGAGGCGCAAATCGGCAGCTCAGCGGTGGGGTGCTCGGTGTCCCGCAGATCATGAAGAAGAGCCATACCTACAGCAAATTGTTTGGGACCAACATTTGCCTTTGGCTTTCACGTGAATTGTGATGGAGTCCCCATGGTTCGGCATCATCTCACAACAGCATCGGTCCTTCTTGACAGAGAACACTCGCCATCCGGCCACACACTACGTTTCACTCCAAGCTTCACATGGAGGGGTACCAAGCCACAACGTATCCAGCAACTGCTACTGCTTTCCGCTGGGCTTGCGCTGCTGGATTGCGCATATCACATGCTTTGTGGTCGCAGGCCACATCCAGTGGAATGATCTGGCGAGACACATCCCATGCCTGCAAAAGAATTGATGCTGACACACATCACGCTCTCTTAGGACCTGCCCGAGCAACCTTGTACCAAAATCAATTTCAGGCCCAACGACTCTTAGCAGCAACATCAAGAGGCGCTCTCAAATCCTCAACAACCAATCTGTTGGAGTATCCAATCATCGGGAAGCAAAGATTGACTGCCCATCTCTGATACATAGTTGTCGTTCTTAGCCTTGCATCAGTTTGTATCATCACATCTTCATCACCATCTGCCACGAGGGCGCTGATGGCCGCAGAATGTGAGCCACGGAACCCTGCTGTTTGGCGCGGTGGAAGACCATGAAGAATATGTTTTCCCGAATGCGTAGCGAAGGGTTCTCGTTTAACTCTGGGGGTCTGGGGGTAGGACCTTGTTCACGACGCGTTGTTTCAGCGTCCGCAACCGTCTGTGGTAGAGCGCTAAGGCGCTGCCATTGGGGGAAGCTTTTGGAGAGGGTTTCGGAGGGAAACGTGACGTGTCAGATTAGTGTGCAATAGCGTGGAAACGTGTGGAAATGTAAGATGCTGAAGTGTGGAGGATGATTGTGTGGCGCAAACTTTGTTGAAGCTCACATGATATGATATTGTCACTTTTCGTGTCAGGTGCAGTACTTTGCGCGGGCTTTGAGGTGTGGAAGTGCGATTTTCGTGGCAGGCGCAGGGAATCGTGAAGTTCCGAGGTGTGACGGAGGTGACATTTCGTGGCAGGCGCAGTACCTAGTTAGAGTGGACGCGGAAAGATTCGTGGCAGGCGCAGGGAATCGTGAGGTTGTGAGTTGTGGTAGAGGCGAATGTCGCTGTGACATTGGGATTGGTGTGTGAGCGGGTGTTGTTTGGAGGGGCTGGAATCGCGAAACTGCTTGGCAGGGCTGCGTGATGTGAGGAAGTCTCGTAGGAAACGCTTGTTTTGGAGACTTGACATGTGACTGTTGGAGGAAGTCTCGCACGAAGCGCTCGTTTTGGAGATTGCACGCATAACTTTTGGAGGGAATCTCTTACGAAACGCTTGTAGTGCTGGGGGCAGATCGCGTGGCGACACGACGTTCGTGATGTCACAGTGCCATGCGGGCTTGCGCGGCCTTGGCTTGGTGGAAAGTGCGTTTGCGTGGCACCGTGTCACAGGGGAGCACGAAACACGCTGGTGTAAACGCGGCGTGTCGCTGGTGAGCGGGATGATTGGTGGTATATCATGTGATATATGTTTGCTTTTTGTGTGCGGTGGACCGTGTGGGGAAATTACGTTCGTGATGTTGCAGTGCCACGCGGATTTGCGCGGCCTTGGTGGAAAGTGCGGCTGCGATGCGCCGTGTCACTGGGGAGCGCGAAACATGCTGGTGTAAACGCGGCAGGTCGCTGGTGAGCGACTAGAGCGTCCCACAACAGTGTCCTAGAAGAGTGTCCCACAACAGTGTCCCGTAAGAGTGTCCCACAACAAGAGTGTCCCATAAGAGTAGCCCACAAGAGTTTCCTACAAGAGTGTCCCGAAATAGTGTCGCCACAAGAGTGTCCTACAAGAGTGTCCCAGAAGAGTGTCCTGTAAGAGTGACCCACAGTGTGAGCGCCAAGAGTGTCCACGAGATTGTTCCGTGAGAGTGCCCCAGCAGTGACCCACCGGTCCCACAAGAGTGTCCCACAAGACTGTCCCATAACAGTGTTCCACAAGAGTGTCCTGTAAGAGTGAACGACAAAAGTGCCCTACAAGAGTGTCTCACAAAAGTGTCCCACAAGAGTGTTCCAGAAGAGTGTCCGACAAGAGTGCCCCGCAAGAGCGGCCTATGAGAGTGTCCCACAAAAAGTGTCCTACAAGAGTGTCCCACAAGAGTGTCCCGTAAGAGTGTCCGACAAGAGTGTGAGAGCCAAGAGTGTACCAAAAGAGTGTCCTGGAAGAGTGTCCCACAAGATTGTTGCGTGAGAGTGTCCCACAAGAGTGACCCACAAGAGTGCCCCACAAGAGTGTCCCACAA